GGGGGGGGGCACGGCCACCCCGCTCCGCACAGGATGGCGGCCCAGCACCTGGCCTGCGGGCAGCCCCGGGTCAGGCCAGGAAGTAGGGGGGCGGCAAGGTGCTGGTTGCTCGAGCGAGGGGAGCCCTGCTGCACCTTCATCCACCGGCCTCTGCTCTGGCTGCCCAGAACCCCTCTTCCCTGGGGCTGGCGGGGTGCAGTCGGCCCTCCAGCCCCGCCTCCCAGTCTCTGCCCACGGGGCCCTCCTCTGGCTGCGCAGGCGGGGCTGGAGGCAGGGCTTGCGGACATTCAGACTCCCACCGCGAGGCGACGCGGAGGGAGGCGGTTGCTTCACAGCCCCATGGAGGGGACAGTGGGCAGCTGCGGCCCCCCTCCCCAGCCCCCCACCCTGCCTCGCCCCTGCCCTGCCTGAGCTGTTCATGCCTGGGGGTGAGGGCAGCTTTATCTCTCCCTTTATTGAGCTTTGATTGATTTCCAGGTCGTTCTGAGAAATTATAGATCTGCCGGGAGAAAGTCCACGCCCAGAAATTTACACGGTAAACACGCACTGACACAGCGCAAAGTGCGGACTCAGCACGTTCGTGGCCGAGGACCCTCGTCGGGAAGGGAGGGTGAGCATGGGGAGGGGACCGTGCTGTCTATAGATCCTGGGTGGGGCGCTGGAGAACTCGGGGGGCTGGGGGTTGCCACAACGCCAGCCCGTCCCCGGCGCCCCAGGCCTCCCAGAGCGGCCTGTCCTGGCTGCCGGGTCCCTTGATGCGCCTGCCATGCACGGTTGACCGCCCGAGGGTCTGCCCGAGGCGCGCGGCGTCTTTCGCTTCCAAGCTTCTGTGTACGGGGTTAGCGCACTGGCTTTGGCCGCTGCTGTCGTGGAGGCTGGGCGGTCCTGGCGTCCAGCTCAGACCTCGGGGCGCGACACTTGGATTGCTCTGGGCAGTCGAGTCGCACACCGCACCCCCGCCCCGGCCGTCCCCGGCCCCAAAGGGGAGTGAACGTCGGCTGTCGTTTGTTTCTCAAATGTTGGTGACGCACCAGCACCTAGGGCTTGTCGCCGGGGGCATGTCCCATTTTGTGATTTTGTTCGATTGTCGGATAGTCTGATGTGTGTGTTTAAAAACTTCTTCTCCAGATACAAGTCCCCCATCGGGCACATGTGGGCCGTAGCATCCTGCCTGCTGTCCCTAGACCCTGCAGGGTCACTGAGCTGGGTTCCTCGGGTGCCAGCCTGAGGGACAGCAAGCCCAGAGTCCTGACCGTGCAGACCCTCGTGTGGTCACATCCCATGTGCCACAGGGACCAGAGTGCACCGTGGATGTGCGTGTGGACACGATGTCGGGGCCCCCGGCCGTGGGGGGGCTGCCCCCGAGGCCAGAGGGTGCGGGGAAGTGTCCGTGGCTTGTGGAGCAGATCCCCACCGGAGCAGTCCAGCCACCTGCGCGTGGCCCCTTTTGGTTCCTCAAATGTCGTGGGAGCAGCTTGCCGGGTGTGTGAGCCGAAACCGGAGCCTGTCGGGGTGAGGGTCATGCTCAGGTTCGTGGCGGACGGGTGTTCTCACCACGCTGTCTTCCTGCCCCCGCACGCGGTGCTCTCGGTGCTCCTGGGATCTCGGCTCGTGTGTAGGTTTTCTCCTAGGTGGTTGTTGCTTCTTGATACTATTTGATCCCTTTTTTTCCCTTGGGTTCCGTCTCCCATCAGTCCGGGCCGGACGCGCCTGTCGCTTGTGGGGTGGCACAGTGAGTGTTAGCTGGCGCGACGCCTTCACCGACGGCTCTCTTCCGCGCCAACAGCCTTGTGATGCGTAGAAAGCGCACAGCCCTGCGGTTTGGACGGCGTGCCCCCCCCCCCGGCCGCTACAGGACCCTGTGTGCGCTCTGTGGTCTTGTGCGTCCCCCACACAGCATCGTGTGAGTCCTTCGTGCCTTGTTGGCTGAACGGCTGTCGCCCTAGGGATCTGCACCATGTGTGGGTCCACTCGCCAGCTGATGGGCGTTTGCTTTGTTTCTGTTTTGGGGGCTGCTACAGCGTTGGCGTGAACGCTTAGATACAAGTCTTGGTGTGGACGTGTGTCTCGTCCTTCCAGTAGGTTCTCAGGAGTGGAATTGCTGCTTCACAAGATATTTATGTATAACTTTTTAAGGATTTTATTTTTAGGTAGCCTCTATGCCCGACGTGGGGCTCAATCTCACCACCCCAAGATCAACTCTCGTGCTCTGACAGCCAGGCACCCCTTATGTCTGACTTTTTAAAAAACCATTCTCAAAAGCGTGACATTGTGAGAAGTGGGAGCCTTCCAGCTGGGTCTCGTCCTCACCCGCACGCGGGGTGTGCTGTCTGCAGGTCAGCTGCTCCCATCCCGCGACCCTCCGTGTCGTGGACAGTTGGGGCCGAGCGCCTTCTCATGTGCACAGTGGTGCTCGTCTTCACAGGCGGGGTGTTGATCTGAGTCTTGGACGTTTTTAAATTGTTTTCTGAGTTGTCAGACTTTAATTGTCGGTTATCAGACACGATACTTGCAGATACTTTTCCTTGCCTGTGGCTTACCAATTAAAAAAAAAAAAACAAAAAAAACCTTGGG